CGCCCTTTTCTCAACCTATAAAATAAGACAAAACCTTCTACAGAACATATGTGTTACGATCACTAATTTTTCGAAATTTATTTACGAAGTGCAGGAACGTGCGTGTGACACGTAAATTTTTGCCATGTCACGTATAAAATACGAAGACATACTGCTATGAGCACATACGTGATACAATGTTAGCTTATCTTGCTGGATTTTAGCAGAACATATTGCCGAATGCGACCGCGCATGTAACATTATTGCCGAGCTTAGGCAATAGAGTAGTCTAGCTACTTGGCAGGTTGTTTCATAGTTTATAAGATTAAATATATAATACAAAAATAGTTTTCTGGGTGTCTTACTTTAGCCGGTGAAAGGCAATGTAGTGGTCAAAAGATTTAATAAACCTCATTAGACTATGGCTCCTTCCTTGTATGCTGGTTCGTCTTTACTCACTATTGGCTTTATTCTATTGTGATATTTTATCTAATGTGGTTTCTTTGTCAACCTATATATTTTTTCGGTATACTTTTGGTATATCCGCTCCTGTCGCAACCACTGCTTTGCCTTTGCAATTAGTCACTTATGCAAAAGACATAACGTGCGCTCAAGTTATCAAGCACTGTCCTTTTGCCACTTCTGGAGGGGCCCGGGGGGGACAAGTCTTCTATTCTTTGTTTTTAACCATCCCGTTTAGCGGGTAGCTTGTCTTATTGACGTACGCACATCAGAGAGTTAAAATGTGGTTTGGTTGTTGATATGGTCCTCTTTGCTGTTATGGTTGGTCATCTACCTTTTTGTCGTCAGTGGGCCGATGGGCAAAGAAGTAAAGGTAAGCCTATAGTGTGCCGTCACCTGCACCCACTTGATAGGTCAGGATCAATCAACGAGGTGTGCCATTACCTCGAAAGGCGCGTGCGATCAACAGAATATAGAAGAGGGCTAGATGCATCTCAGGCACACAATAACAACAGCAACAACAATAAAAACACATCAGGAAGTTTAGGCCTTACCCTGGCGCTTGTCAATCATTTCTCTTAAGTGTGTTTGTACTGCGTGCGTAAACCTGGAAAGTGTCTTACCTTTGTAAGCATAGAAAGCAGCAGTACCATCACACTGATGATGGAAAAATGTCCGCTAGTTTAGCTTGACTGGGTCCGATGTCTCCGAGCTTTGTCGCAACCTGAACTGTGCGAGAGCAGGTTTGCTCTGTTCTTCTGTATGCCTATATGAGAGATATGGGTATGCTCAAGTTCGCTCAGGTGCAATAGACAATTTAAAATTAAGCGACTCTAAAACAATTATCCGGCCTTATAGTGCCAATCGGTTCGATATGTTCTATTTAAGACGCTTGCACGTTTGTTCTATAGCCGCAAGTTTTGACAGAATTTTCACACATTTTGATTCAAGTTTTCTTAACTTTGGCTATTGGCTTGTGCAAAAATAGCTGAATAACTGGATCTCAAGACAGTTCAGTTGTACTGACACAGACGCTTAAGTTTAGTAAACCCTCTTTTCATTTTACGTTCGCAGGCTTGCGCACGGAAAGCCACCCCATTCCCAACCAGCTGAAAATGGGCTCTTTTGGGCGAGAGCCGCAGGTTTGGCGGAGATTGTCGAGTAAAATAAGCCAGGTATAGTTAAACAACAATACCCGCAAACAACTTTACCTATTAACACGAGTGTATATATATATATATATACATATATATATATATATATATATATATATAGTAGTATTGATTGTGTGACGCAATAATAATCACAACAAGACTGGTCTTACAGCAGTTGCCTGGAGTTATTAATGTTATGTAGAAATTCTATTGCTTCTGGTAGCTTGTCGAAACAATTAGCGAACGAGTCGCCTCTTCTGCCAGCCTTCGATTACTAAAACACACCTCTGCCTGTCTTTTGCCTACGATTATCTTTTCTTTATTGGTACCATCAGAAATATCTTGACATCCGTACACAAAATTGAAACAGTTAATCATCGTGCTTCAGTATCGCGATAGATTTCCCCTCCTCTCCAATATCTCTATCCCCTTGCCTTTCTGTCGCTGTCGTAACAAAAAGAAAACTGAAAGCAGTGCCACTCTCTACGTCTCTCATTATCTCCCTACATTTAATTAGCTGATGCCTGTCTGTCTACGCAGCTGCCTTCGCACGGTCCGCCTGTGCTCTAGTCTCCTTTTCTCCGTTTGTATGCGCTACCCTCGTTTGTCTCGCGCTATTGTCTGTCTATTCACTCGTCGGCTTTTGCTTGCCCGTATTGCTACAACCTTTACGGATGAGGTTCGAATTTAACGAGCAATTTGAGGCGCAGGCGATGGCAACGCTGACGGTTGACCTAGGTAGTACTGACAATGATGCTGCTGCTGGCTTTAATGATGGTTCACTGCGCGGAAACAGTAGCCGACCAAATATAATTCTAACCTGCTCATTTTTGCTAGCTGGAGGCTGTATCGTTTTTCTAGTCAATGTCGCTGTATGAGTTTATATAGGCATATATAGGAGAATTCGTGCGGCGAACAAACGGTATCGCGCACTGACTATTTTACCGTATTCACTCTTTGAATCTATTAGATTTGTCTGTGTGGTACGGTGCTTAAGTGTCAATCCGTCAGTGCATTAAAAACATCCCTCGGAGGGCTACGGCGCGGCCTTATCCCGCCCTGACCGCATCTGTCTGTTTATGGCCTGCTGTTGTCCGTGTCGGTAACGTCTCTTTGCGTTTCGGCGTCTGGCCGTATGGGCTCCTCGTCCGTCACTCAACTGCTACTCGAGTTAGTCTCTTGCACACACCAACCAACAAGTGAGTGATGAGTGGTCTTAATTTAGAATAGCCAGCTAGTGACTGTGCCGAGCAGAGCAGAATAGATAGTTATAATAGTTGATTGACAGCTGTGGCTGGGAACACTATGCGACCCTACTCAACGCGAAGAACCACAAGCTGTTGATTGCCGCCCACCACCATCGCTGCCGCTGTTGCCCAATGCCTTGATGGCATACGGTAAACCAGTAGCTAGTATCTCGTCACTTTAGGCCCTTGGGCAGGTCGTGGACTTTCGTCGTGATCGTCAACATTATGCCTATTGTTGTTGCCATGGGCTTTTTGCCTCTCTGTCAAATGATTCTCGATGCATACGTACAAACGAGTACATAGGGTCTATGTAGAAAGAAGCCATAACTGGAACAGGTTTCTCGTGGTGCTCAATAGTACTAAAACTTGAGCATACGCTACTATTAAGTCAAACGAGAATTTTGGCCGATTTTTCAATAAGAGACGATAATAATAGCCCCAAGAGTGAAACGGTTTATCCTAATGCTTGAGATTATTATCAATATCGAATTAATCTTCAAAGCTTTACTGTTAAAATTTCTACAGCTGTGCCCCTTTTAGGTGGCCTAATTACTGAACTTAGACCACCTTAAGGCATATGGTACTTGCATGTGAGCAACAGCGTACAAACATTTTTGTTGCGTCTATGTAAAGCGAAGTAGAGACTTCTGATGTTCGCGACTTTAGAAAGCTTCTGTTAAAATTGTTTGTTTTATATAAGTTAGAAGTTGCTAATCGAAAGCTTCAGAATAATACTGCACGTGTGCAAAGCAAAGTGGGTTTGTCGATCATAATTTTTAGCTATCACCAAAAACTCTTGCACAGACGTTGTTCAAAGAGCCAATAGCTGTTCGGGAATCCAGGTCCATCTGCGCCATATAAATTTCTAGTCAAGTCTTCGAGAGAGCCCAAAAAACTAATTACTCTATATGAGTAGTTCTTTCTAACAGTGTTGTGTACGTGTGCATGCCAGAAGCGGACAAACTTTATACTATTTTTCATATAATCCTCTCTATTTGCCAGCTAGGCGCCCTGTGGGAATGACATGAATAGTACAATTTGCCCATCTGACAAGTGATCCAGTATGTGTATTTTCCCAAACTGACACCAATGCTTGAGCTGTTAAGCATAAGCAAATCCTCTTCAAACTTATGACATTACATCAGAACATTGGAGCTACCCAACGGATCCGACAGAGTTCCGATTGCTATGCAGGTTAAAGCCTGCATGACAGGTCTGCTAGCCCTGGGTGCATACTGGGCACGGATCGAGAAACGGCCTGGGCGGGACAAACATTGGCTCAGCGGAGCGTCAGCTAAGAAGTTGTTCAATCTGCGAGAATGAAAATAAAGGCGACGTCAAGTTTGAGGTTGGGCACATGCTCCAGTGCGCTCACGAGCTTAGAAAGAACTGACGCGGCAGTAAGTGATAAGGGAGAGCTACATTATAGGGCAAAAGGCCAGACGGCAGCGACCCCAGCCAACTCGATGCTTTCTACGGCTATAAAAGTGGACATTTTTCTTTTTATGGTAACCTTACGTCCAAGTAATTTCCGCCACTCGACTAGATCTATAGCAGCGATATCGGCTCCTAGCCGGCTGTAGTCAACAATTAAAAGCAAAAAGCTGTCGCAATAAAAAATGGTCGAATCAACGTGTTACTCTGTCACAGCTAGTGAACCGGTAATCTCTGCAAAGGTCATACAAAATAAAGTATAATTTAGCTTCCAATTCCATTCGTGCTGCAACAAAAGAGAAGTTACTTTGCCAGAGCTAACAAACCGCTGCTTCCTTTCTTTTGTGTATGACAATTGTTACATATATGTACAGCAAACGTTTCTTAGAAGAATTGCTATAAAAAAAATCGTTCTCCACAGTACGAGCTAGGGAATATACGCTATGCTTCCGGCTTTACCACTTACATACTACCGCCTGACATTTAGGGTAAAGGTGCAAATGGATTTTAGAAGTCCCTTGAATAAATTTTCTATTCAAAATTTGTCCTCTATATATTATTTACACGACATTTTCCCCCTTTTGTACCAAGCTATATGTTACAGTCTATTTTTTTTAAACGATATACTGGTACGCGCCGCATAGCAGGTACTTGCAGACATATTGAAAATGCTTTTGACACGGCGCAGTCTGCGCCATCTTATTTATGTTAAAGATTTACTTACCAAAGTCAACACATCGGTAGGCCACATGAATAATACCCTCGCCTTTACAACGAGCTCGGGCCTCGGGATCTTTGACGTGATCACGTGTCCAGCTGAACAGGCATGCGTGTTGCCCCGAACACCTGGCATGATGAGAAATCACGAAGGAAACACGTTAACCTTTAAGTCTACGAAGGTAAAATCTGGGAAAACTTTTATTTGTTGTCTGTATAAGTTACTAACGGGTTAGGTTAGAAGATAGTTCCAACAGGTACTTTACCTAATTGGTTTGAGTTATACCTATACAAAGTATATCGCCGAGATTTATAGTGAATGATGATCTGAAGTCTGCACGCTGATGATTATAGGCATATTTTTGATGGATTCTATCATCAGTGAGATCAGTAAAAATGCTATCGTTTATAGAAAGCTCGCCCACTGAATCACGTTACTTCGATTGCTTCGGTTGCTTTTTGATGTTGAACTGTATAGTCAGATATCGTCTGGACATTCTCCAGGCGATAAGTCAAACTTCTACTCAAATTCTAACGTCTCGAACACTTTCTTCTTCTGCCATTGCTGATGTTCCGATATTTGTAGAGGTACAGAATTCAAGTTGCTGCCCTAAGGGACATCCTTTTCTCGCTGTGAGTTCACACGGATTGGCAGTAAACCATTGGCACGAAATGGAAACACACGTCTAGATCCCGCAGACCGAACTACAGGAAATCAAAAAAATCACCGCTCGTGGACACTTCTGCGGCGTTGTCTGTTCCGAGAGACGCATTATTTCGTCCGCACTCAGCTGCTTCGTCTAGTTAGAAATCTAAGGTCTGCTAGCGAAAAGAACGCATTTGTCTTAGGGTGAAAGCAGTAGGAGCCTTAGTATACGCAGGTACAGGTCGAACGCCACTGCTTAGGTCCACGGTAGTGTGCTTGTATGTGAATCTACATGGCTAGCTTAACTTGAGTTCGGGTGCATTGATGTGGAATAGATTTATGTGTGTGTGTTCAGCGTCGGTAGGTAATGCTACCAGCAGAAAAAACCCAGATGAGACCACGGCGAAGGAAAGCACACGAAGTGTGGCCAGCCGGATGGGCACGGGGACATACAGATAGCGAGAGAGGCCAACTATTGTCGCTCAATGCTACTGTTATTAGATCGCTAAACACATGCAGTACGCGTCCATTTAGTAACGAGTACTTTGACCGCTTTACTTAAAGAATTATGCGACAATTCCTAACGGATAAAATTCGATTGCATAAGGTCTGCATCAGGTAATGCAGACCATGACAAAGGTTGGCCGTAATTTTCAATGCCGAGGTCACAAAGTCAGCGAGTTAGGCGCAATTTTAATCTGTTTCTTTGAATTATGATGTTAGTTAGACGATTACTGTTTTTAGACCAGCATTAACTTAATTGATTGGAAGGATGATGTGCGTGGTCGGACGTATCATGTAACTGACCGAAACTTTTATACAACGGGATACCATGATAGTAGCAAAATGAGAATGACTAGACGTTGCACTCCATAGCGTTTCATATATATATTCCTTAAGCACAGATCTTTTGGGTCAGCTTTTGTTCAATTCGGGAACACTATTTCAAGACCAAGCTGGCGTACTTGTCCAGCCGAATCAACGGTTCAGAAGAAAAGAATCATGTATTATTTATGGTGCATTAAAATTGCTGCTTAATGGTAGGTTTGGCCGATATTTGTAGCCAAAGGGTTTACTGTGTCGCAGTATTGCTAACTAGGGTTAATTGATGGCCAGGGAACGCCCTCAGGATAGCGATCCTGTCGACTAATTTAACTGCCTAGCATCCATTGCAGCCTGAATTAAGAGAGTTAGTTTTGCCTTCGACCCTCGCTGGGTAAATCTCTGAGGTCACGACTATACATACGTACTTCATAACGTTTACCTATATGTGCAAGCACAAGTCGTCCTCTAACAATTAAAATATATCATCCACCTGTAGGTCTGCCAATGTACGACAGTAGATTGAAAGTTTTGTCTGTCGCGTTTGCTCACGCGCGTTTCGTGTTGTAAACCATCAGAGAAATGTGTTATCAGGGAAATACTGGCGTATGCGAATGTGATTTGTACGTAGGCCTTTGTTGTTATGACAGCTTAGGAAGAAACGTATTTGCATGCTAATCGTAGGGAGACGTTATGGCCTAGACTCGAACCCGGGCATAAACGGACTTCGATTCGTGCCGAGAGCCAGCCATCTGACGGAATTATGTCTAACGGCAATACCAGACGTAAAACTCAAACTATAAAAACCCTCAATTTAACGAAGCATTTAGCTGATACACATAAATATATATTTAAAACTGTATTGAAATCAATGTATAGACAAACAATGCGAAATTCAGTGCAACAAATAATCCGAATGCGAAATATATGTGCAATGTCTTTGTATGAATTCTTCATATCTTTTAGTTCAAGCTCAACGAGCCAATACTGAGGTGTACTGTTGCTTCTTTTATAATTTTTTCTGTTTTTAAATGACCTTTATCTGTCGCGTACCCCTAAGTACGTTCTTCTCATCTCTGTTACTTCTATCTGAGACCTATTTAATCATACTTCCTAAATTATTCGCGATCTAATGATCACCATATATATGCTCGTCGGTTTCTTTAGGGCAGCTTGGTCTCTCTGTGGCCGATCCACGAATAGCCCCTTGCACACCATTGGTTTCGGACACCATTAGCAGTAGGACCAGCGAAAAAGAAGGAAAATGAGATAGTAACGAAGATCACCCGCAGTACGCGAGCGCGTTCACAGCTAACTATTTATTGTGCAGTGGAGATCAGAAGACAAACATGCATAGCTTGGGCTGAGCGTGGGTCGCAACGTTCGCCAGACACCCCTAAGACTCCCTAGCCCTCTCTCCTTTCTGCAATTCCCATACCCGCACTCAAACTTCGAAATAGAAATATAGTCGATAATTTTCGCCATTCCACTCTATATATAATTTAGCAGGCGTTGCTTCGCCTTTCATACAGAATCCTACGAACTCCCCGTGTCTGTGCTCCCTCAACGATCTTCCATCAACGTCTCGAGCCACGCCACCGGTAAACGAACGCGTTACACACGAGTATGTATTGACTAGAGTGGAATGTAGAACTGTATACTGATTAGAAATAGACGATACAGGGTCATGGTGTCCGGATACAAAACGACCATGGGAAGGGGGTAGAGAATGTAGTAGCACTGGTGTACTGTAGTATACCTTCCCTCAAATGCCTCGTACAGACCGTGTGGTCATCGTGTCCGAGACCAGTCATTGTTAGAGGTACAAGAACACAGACAGCCGACTGGGGAATATGGAGGAGGAGGTGCAAGAATGGATGGTGAATCCTGAGGGGGTGATGTTGTATCGATGCGTTATAGTCGTAAAGAATCTATGAGTATTGCCGATGTAGAGGTAGCGAAGACAATGAAACTGACCTAGGTAAGGCTGTCTTTTGGCTCTAGAACGGTTCGGCATTTAGTGTTTAATGAACCCTTGAAAGCATCTACTAATGGAATTACACAGAGTGTCTGATGCTTTACTATGCTGAGGGTAATTTTCGAACAATAGTAAACGTTTCCCAAAAAATAACTGTTTGACAAACTGATCACCCAGATTTCTAGTTTCCCTAGTACGTGGCAGACGAACGGTTTACAAGATATGTTATGTGCTGCAATTACGCTTTCAACGATGTACTCCATCTGCAAAATATAGCATTTGACCACCAACTGTTAGCAGCTAAAGCCATGTTGGCCTTCAGCGAACACCCCTACCGGTATCAGCTGATACTGGACCCTGTCAAACATAATCTTGCGCCTTGAATCCTTACACAATACTCATTCCAGAGCCGGACCACGCTAAATATAGATTTAGGTATATTAGTAACTACCGGGGGTAGATTATAGTGCGTAGGTATTTACTTACTTAGGTTGATGTATGCCGGAACACCGGCCATGATAAGTCTAAAAACTCTTCAGTCAAGTAGAGAATGATACGAAGCGTGGACAATTTTGCTCACGAGTGACGATTATTTTTCCCGTGTCGCAGTCTTTTTTATTAGGGATAAGAACACTTAAGATCCATTGCGATCTATTGACGATATGGAATGATCGCATGATAATTACCTTGCTAATGTATGCATTTTGTTGATGTTGTACACAACAACCGAATAAGATGATAACCTGGATCATCTTGGAACTAAGCGCATTCGCCGACGCGCTAACAAGACCATCATCATCGACTCGGATAGATAAGAAAACGATGGTAGCCTACTTGCTCGGAAATCTCCTTTTCTAGAAAGAACAAACTCGCCTAGCCACGTGCACGCTTGGGAGCTCGTGTGTGTGTCTGGGCGTGCTTCTGCAAAATGGGGATCTGAGCCCAATTCGAAGAGCCTCGTAGACTCAATGAATGTATCAATCAATGCATCGAAAGGGGTTGCATCGACCGGTTTAATCTAAAGTACCTTATCATTCTTTTTGCGTCGGGTTTATTCCAACATCAAAACCGGAGCTGGGCCCGCGAACAAATAAAATGTTCCTGATTTTCTTCTGATTACGAGTCTACAGCCCAAATAGGCTAGTTCATTAAATGCTGTAGACTTGTTCTCTTGAGGACATATTCGAAATCCAGGCAAAGTAACGAAGATCCCTTCGACAGCCAAACCACCAGGACTTAGGTTTCGCGGACCTATGCCGCCGCCTATCTTCCATATTGCACATATAGTGTGAAAGAATTATGGCATTTTCAGATTGTAGTAATAGCAGGTACGAAGGGATTTATTTGCACGACCTTTTCATCGTATGGGTATTGATAGTGGAGTTAATCTGCTTAGTCACATGTACTGAATACCTTGAAATGTATGGTATGCCTGGGCTCGTATCGACCGCGCTTTTTTGAATTTCGTACCGCTAGTATGGGCGCAAAAACTCAGTTTCAACGTTCGTTAGCTTAAGTTAGATAGAACGACAAATTTTTTCCCTCTCTGCGGATCTCAACCCTTCTATAACTTAAAATATGGATCTTGCCAGTTCATCGTTGGCCTTTACAAATCACCTTACCGCGTTGTACTTCTCCATTATGTACGTTACTAGAGAAACAGGGAGACTAAACAAACAATAT